TCTAATTGCAACCCTCCCTAAATGCATGCTCTAAGGCTGGTCCCGATGACGTGCATTTAGGGAGGTCTGACTGTATACCGTAGATCAATAATGATACTTTTTGGATGACTGGCAAATTACTATGGTATTTTCAACCCTGATCGTTACCCATAAGCATCGCTATTATCACTAATCCGCTTTAATAATTACCTTTGCATATAGGAACGGAGTGTATGGCTTACCCGTGGGAGAAATGGTGTATGGGTGCAAAATCTTACACATGATTGGTCGGCGTGATCGTAACCATCACATTGTTTCAAGTTTTCACATGCAACTTCATCACGGTGTATTCTGAATTGTGTCAATCATGATTTTAAACAGGTATTGAAAATTGTCGTCATTTTCTGTAAGGTTTTTACGATTGACATTTTTAGCGAAGTTAGAGAAACATTATTTCTCTGTAACAGTCTCTAGTAGAAATTTAAGGGTAAATTGGGAACCTAACAGAATATAGAAAATGTTGTTGATCCCTGATCGGTCTAATCTGGATTACTTAGAAACGAACTTAAAAATTTCTATTTGAGACAATTATATATAAATACTTTTCTATAACTTTGCTTATCGGACGAATAATGATTAAAAATGTCAATTGTACGAACCTTACTCAAAATCAACTAAAATTATTGCAGAACCGAATAACGTCCCTACATAGCGGTTCTTGTTTTCATGTAAATTCTTTTGCACTTAATATAATTCCTGTATTTCTTCGACACTATAGAAACTTTATTAATTATAAAAATGGCTTATATTACCTCCACTTCAAGCAGAGTTCAATATATTAACTCGATCGTAAGGATTATTAATTATTGTCACATGCAGGTAAAGTAGAATCACCGGTTAATGACACAAACATTAACAATTATTAAATTGCATTAATTCTCTGTCTATTGATGAATTGCTATGAATAAACATCAACTAATACTAAACTCAGACCAAGTTATTCGAGGATAAATGATTTCACTCATATACTTTCTTTTTATATACTAATGAGTTAACAAAAATAATATGAATTATCGGGTATATCACAGATAACGTAACACTAAAGATTCTAACTATTAATATTATTCGAATTATTCAAAGTATTCGCACTAAGAATTTGGATACCAGAAATATCGAGAATTCTTGAGGTATCCAGAATTCTAGGAATTTCGAGGATTATACTGCCTCAAAACAACTTAGATAAATTCAAAATATTTATTTTCGATGAATAGATAATATAACTTATGCTAAACTTACTTTATTGTTTAATATAAATTTTGATAAAATAATATTAAAATACAGTGAATAAATCAAGTATTATATATTTTTTAATTTATTTTACTGCTTCTTTTCCTTTTTCCTTCTTAATGCTAAAACTTTGCGTACTTCTCTTTCTTTTTTTAGGTTGGTATTTGTCTTCTTGACCATCATTTTCATCCATCGACTTAATATGTTCGTCAGAAGACATTACTTTTTCTTCTTCATGATCACTATGTTGTTCTTTATTATTCTTGACCCCTAAATCTGCATGTTTTTCTTTTTCGAATGTAGAGTTGATTTTTGTATCAGATTTGTGTTGTTATCGCAATTGGTAGAAGATTGATTATCAGATGCAACAGGTTCGATGGCATCAGCAATAATTTCAAGAATTGAACGGGTCTTTGATGATTTATCAGATGAAATTTACAGGTATAATAGATTTATAAATCTGTGACTTTAGATAGTCGATATCCCATGGCCTCTATCATCAGTTTACCAGAATCAGAGAACTTAATGAATCCTGATATAAGTATTTCGTACTTTAATATTAAGTCCTAATGAACCTAATAATCATATGAATCATATTAACAAGATACCATAATGATAATTTCATACACAAATTCCATAAATGAAAGCTTGAACATGTGATCCCATAAAGTCATCTCGCAATAATGATCACCCTGTCACTCCGTTGACAGGCTTTTCATTGTTGCAGATCTATTGGCATAATGTTTTTTTACTATTAAAACGCAATTAAAAATTGAACTAAATAGAAACTATTTATATTTACCGATTAAAAATCTTCAAATAAGAGTAAAATCATCGTAATAGTAAAAAGCTATGATATCAGATAATTTAAATGCACCGATTAATAATTAAAGTTTATTCAATTAAATTAACGTGAATAATATGATGATATAGTGTGATAATAAATGCTAAGGTATCCATTGTGGCTATGAAAGATGCATCAATCTGATCTCTTCTAATAATCAACACCTCTGATAAGTGTAATGTGAGATATGAGAAATGCTATGTATTCAGATCGTTACTAGATATTCAAATTTATTTTATAACAAGATCCCAAAGATTATTCATTTCTTGCAATACCAAAGCATGTTCGTATGTATGTACGTTCATGTCATGTCAATTATACATAAGTACATTGTTTACATACTAAAACAGCCCATTTTGGCAAAATTTCAGATTTTTATTTGATTTTTGAATGGATATAAATTCAATAAAAAAAGTTACTATAAGTTACAAAAGCTAATTATATATAATAAAAAGAATCACAAAATGAACTTTAAGTTGAAAATAATATGTACAGTCAGACCTCTCTAAGTGCACACACTCTCTAAGTGCACACACTCTCTAAGTGCACACACTCTCTAAATGCACGACCCAAAAATATACATGCCCTCTATAAATGCACTTTTTTTTTTATTATTCTCTATATGCACGTTATTAAAGTGTGGTCGGTCCCAAGGGCGGAGGTCTGGCTGTATATATAGATCATCACTTAAAATCAGTGTTGGCAAAATATGAACATGGACGTTACGGACTATTGGATATAGATATTCATAGACTATGTCCGTATTTCTATTGAACATAAGGCACTTAATCAAAATCAATCACGTGAGCTTGCTGCTCCAAAATATTCAAATAAATTTTTATTAGACATAGTCTGAATGCCAACACTGATTGAAATTATTTACAAAAAATTGTTTATATGAAAAATAGGCTGCTTTAATACGTGGCACCCTAAATAGTACCATATAGAATTATTTTGTATAAGACCGATATGAGGTACACTATAACTATTTTTTACCACAGTTTAGCTTTATAATTTCTATAGCACGGACGTAATAAATTAAAAATTTAAAAGTTTTTTTTTAAAATAAACTTTGTTAGTTTAAATATAGACCGCTGATCAAGCAAAATTTTTAAACAAGTTAATAAATTACTGTGTATAAACTGCATTCCCATATTTTTGTTTAAGCATAGGGGAGCCCTAATTTCCCCACCAGTTGTGATTGGACGCATGAAATACCGTCTTCAATTGGTAAACGCCACCTTAGCGCAGCCACAAAATCAAACATCGTTTTAGTTTTCTTTAAAAAAAAATCTAAAATATTTATTAAGCGAAAGTTTATGCACTTTCAAAATCCTTTCTGCTACTGTAGTAAAAAATAAATAAATAAAAATAAATAAAAAATCGAAATAATCTAAACATTAATGAAAATAAGTGCTTTTGACACAACCAAGAAAATTTTATAAAGTCTTTTGTTCGGTACTTTATTCTCAAGAGAATAAAATTTTGTTGAGAGCTATGTTTACAAGCTTGTAATTTTAAATTATATTCTGGCCGCAATTTTACTTTTGTTTAAAAAAATAATTAACACTAACATTTGAAATATTTTAAATTCATTTTATTGATACTACAATACTACAAATAAATAAAATACTACTGCAAATTTCCAATTAATATATATATATATTTAAAGTACTAATACAATAATGTACTCAAGTTTTCAAAAGCCATTTTCCCGAAAGAAAAAATAATTAGTCAGTATAGTATTATGTTCTTTCGGGAAAATAGCTTTCGGAAATCGTACAGTAACTTATTTCAATAGGTGCTAGTTTGCTAATTAGCAATGCTGAAAATAAAGGTAACATCTGACGTGAAATATGAAAACGATGATTCAGAATTGCCAAACGATGCTGGTATTTCCCAAAATGAAGCAACGGAGAAACTTTCTACCAACTGTCAAGAAACTCAACAGAATACTACGGCAAAGTTGGAAAACAACTCAACAAATAATGAAATAATTCGTGGTTAGGTATTTTTCTTCGAAAAATTTAGCCAAATTGCAAAAATAACTGAAATTCCATTCAAAAACCCTTCCGTCGAACTTTCCTAATTTTTTTTTTTTTTTGAAAGCGATAACTTCATCTAGCAACAATCGATCAACATAATGGATCGTTTCAATCAGCAATGGCTAAAATTACTCACTGTTAATTTTCTAAATAATTAGTAAATTTTTCATACGCTTACAAAAACAAACCAAAATAAAACAAGGCAAACCAAAAAAAAAAAAAAAAAACCAATACTTATTTTGTTTTATAGCAGTATAATTTAAAAAAGTAGGTATAATAAAAATTTTTTGACGAAAATTTATTTAAACGTTCACACGAAATCATTACTAAAAACTTGAAAGTGCTAAAACCCAAAAGAACAAACCGTCGAAAATGATTATTTAAAAAAGTAATTTATTCTTTAATTGAATCGCATTAGACGGTTACATAAAATTTTTAGCCACGCTGATCAATGATGTAATTGGTTTCGTCTAGTGATGCCGATTATACTCGTGATAAAACTTGATAAAAAATATTATATAAACTATCCACGTGATAGGTTAATACTATTTATATTTTTGAGGCTTAGATTAAAAACGTGAAACCCATCAAAATATAAACTGATAAACGTTTTATAAAGTTTATTTGAGCATATTTTACAATGAAATAAAAAATTTTAAAGTTTATTTAGCATATTTTCAATGAATAAGGATTTAAATTATTATTTCGATTATGAATTTTATCTTCCCTGTATTTTTGGACAATTAGAACATTCATTTGCTAAATGTAATTCCTTTACGTTAGTAATCCTCTTTGACAATGCCTAGGACAATATTTGCATCGGGCAGAATAGTATTTTCCAATTTTTTCATCAATTAGATTTATTCTGAATAGTATTTTCCAATTTTTTCATCAATTAGATTTATTCTGAATAGTATTTTCCAATTTTTTCATCAATTAGATTTATTCTGAATAATCGCTAGTAGCACTCAAATTATTATTCGACATATTGGGTTTCAGGATTAATGATTCGACATCCAATTTCAGATAAGTGATTTATTATTTCAAAAGAAGCGACGTACAAATTCTATTTTTTAAAGTACGTACTTATTTACATAATCGCTTACCAGTGAATGTTTATCAAAAAAGCTAATTTTATCACCAGCTACACTTATATAATCTTCTGATTCGGAATTAAATTCCCACTTATTTTTGAAAAAAGTTAATTCTGAACCCCCTATTGAAATAAGTAAAGAATTGTTAATTGTTTTGATGTTCTAATTTACGTAATTTGATCATGGCGATAGTTTAATTTAACTAATATTTTTAACTACAGTTAATCTTTTTTATTTTAACAATTTTAACTACGTTATCCGGCAAACTCATATGATCATGAAAAAATTTCTTCTTGTTATTTTTTTCATGTGTTACGATATAATTATGTTATTCCAATATTCAAAAAATAAAACTCAGCGAGCGACTCCCTACCAATCATGATCATAAATTGCCGGATAACACCAATACTGGGCAAAGATATCAGGGTATCCCAATATTGTGCTGTTATGTTACCGATATCGATCTACCTCATGATATTTTACAAATGTGCTGCCAATATGCTGCTGGTATACATATTCAGCAGGTATTTGGCGGATTTATGGCAGACTAACGGGTAAACCTTTATCCTGGTATGCACCCGATATTCATTGATTCAACCTGTGCTATGTTTATATTTTATTCGATTTATTATAAGTGAAACAGGTCTTATGGTGTACTAATTTCGAGTAGGGTGTCTTATTTACAATAGAGTCTACTTTTGAACTGAGTATAATTATCTACAGTACTTAATAAATCATTATTAAATTAACTATAATGGTTTCAAAATTAAAATCAGCGAATCTTATTTTATTTTTCTGATTTATAATTCAACATAGTAAAAATACTATTGAAAAAATCCTACTTATTTTCGAAATGCACTACTTATTTGCTAATTTTGAAACCCTCAATATAAATAAATTCTCTTTTATATAATAATACATTTAATTAATAAATCTGATTAAAAAACATGAGGTAACTAATCGTAACTAATTTATAGTGACGGATAATTTTCAGAAAGACAAAGACTGGTTTAAATTATGTAGTTAGAAGAAGTCAAGATTATAAGAAAAAAAATCATATTTGTTAAACAACCAAAAAGTTCACTAATAACTCCATACTTATTATAAATAAAAGAATACACTATTGTAATCTAAAATATATCTTCATTCCTAAGAAAGTTTTATTTGTTAAGTCACCATAGAACTTAGAATCTATTATTCATAAAGTTTTTTAAAATGCAAAATTACATGATTAGAA